ATTTTCATTTCAATATATGGATCGATTTTCTATTGCATAGAATCACTGGAGTCAAGGTGTACCATTTGAATGTGAGTGTCATATCCCCAATGAACAGTACTTTAAATTCTATATGAAGAATATCATGTTATCCAATATTCTTACGAACACTTCTTTTGTTCAGAATCAACCACTAAAAAACGCTCTGACATGCATCAGTATCAATCAAATCAGATAACATATCCAGTATTCACACACAAATCATAAGCGTATTGTAGGGGAGGGCAATTTGAGTGATTGGATGGTAATTTGATCAATATACCGATCGCTATCGATTGATCCGAACGAGTCGATAAACGGGAAATTGCCGACAATTTGCTGGAATTCCAGTCGCGATATGCATCCGTCTTTGTCATGATCGTAGTGCTTGAAAACCGCATCGACCATCGCCGACACGTGCTTATTCACCGTTTCCGAGTCCAACGCTGAGCTTACGCCTGAAGCCCAGTCAGCGAACACCACCGATTTGGCGGTGCCTTGGAACTACAATTTCACTCATTTATTTGCAGCTGATTTTGAGCATGAACAATTTTGTAAAATATGCCAGATCAACTAGAAAATTTATGATTTCCACAATTTTTTATTCTACCGTTCAAGGTTTCAGTTCGCTACCATTGCTTCAGTATAATTATCTTAACATTCACCCCAACAGACAACCTGATGAGGCAATACAACTTGAAAAGTTGAAAGAAAGTTTTTGTCAAAGTCGCATAAAATACAGCAAGGAATGTGAACTTCATTATTTGACGTTTCAAGTGTTTCACCGATATGATTAAATGATATGGGAACGGTTGTCAAGCGAATCGAGATACAACTATGGCTCTAGTGACAATATGAACACCATAAGTTTATAGCGATCATAACACCGCAATAATCTTTAATCACAGAAGATGTGTTATCTGATAATGTTGATAATTGAGATCTAACTAACATTCAACAGTGTTCTTGGTTCACGTTTCAGTGAGAGTTGATAAATATCGTCTTCATTGTATCGTATATCTAATGAGACCTTAAACGTTCAGTCAGCATTACTAATCGAAAATGGGCCATATTCATGAAACCTAGGACCTTAGACAGAACATTGAGCAAGAGCTTTCAACGGCTCCTTACTATTGCTATGCTGAATTTTTCATCAACTGTTTTTTGGTTACACTGCAATACACCAAAAATGAGCGATTAATAAAATACTAAACAAACGTTTAGCATTTTAAGAATAAATATGATAACGATCAACCGAATAAATGAGCAAACGATAAATAACCGAAGTCACCTTAAGCGTGTTAATGAGATCAATACTCGCATCTGG